TCAACATACGCGTGTACGAAGTTGAGACCTCGAAAAACGTCGTCTATGAATCTTTGGAATGTTTGAGCAGCATTCCTTAGACCGAAAGGCATTCGCAAAAATTCATAGAGTCCGAAAGGAGTTATGATAGCTGTTTTCGGTATGTCGTCAGTAGCCATAGGGATTTGGTTATACGCTTTAACCAAGTCGATTTTCGAAAAGACAGTTGTACCTTTCAAGGTAGCTGTCAAATCGTGAATGTGAGGCAACGGGTAACGATCGGGAATGGTTTTCGCGTTCAATCGCCGATAGTCACCAGTTGGACGCCAATCGTTGCTGTCCTTTTTAGGGACTATGTGCAACGGAGATGCATATGGGCTACTTGACGGTCGTATGATTCCTAAGTCCATCATGTGATCGAATTCGTTTTTCGCTAACCTTAGCTTTTCAGGAGCTAGTCGGCGTGCTTTAGAAAATACAGGTGGTCCTGTAGTCGTGATGTGATGTGTAACATTGCTGGTTACACACGGTAGTTTCGTTTGAGTTTGTTGTATCTCAGGGTACTTATCGAGTGGTGGTTGATAGAGTGGGTCTATCATATGTTTAACTGTGACTGGGGATACTCTACAACCAGTAAAAGAAGTTACGCAAACGGACAAATTAGTGTTTCCGTCTACTAGCCTCCGTTTGCGAGTGTCGATGATCAGATTGTGGTGTTGTAGAAGGTCCATACCAATGATTGGCATAGAAACATCTGCAACAACGAAAATCCAGTGGATGGGTTTACGTAAACCCACGTTAAGGTAAACGTACCTTTTGCCATACGTAGCGATCGGTTTTCCGTTTGCCGCCTGTAAGTTAAAAGCCGACTCCTGAAGCCGGTCGTTAGGATTTGCTGGGAGAACGCTAACTTCTGCGCCAGTGTCGACGAGGTAACGAACTCTCGTTGTCACATCTGTGACGAATAACAGACGGCTTTGTTCGCCGGCTACGGTTGCCGTTAACGCGTGCCGGCTTGGAAGTTTCCCGAATTGCTTTTCGAATCAGTCGGTTTCGTGTTGGGAAAATTGCAGGGTTTTCTGCAATTTCTGGAAAGCTTTCCATACTGGTTATGATACCAGCACCAGTCGGGGTTATCTGTTTCTCGTGGTCTAGAGACAGATCGCTTACGTGAAATGCTTCTACGTGGTGTGCGCGATCTCCTACGGTCGTTACGAAGACTAAGATAACGCGTGAGTGTGTGACATAAGTCGTTTATATCATTCTGAGTCGTTTGAGGTTTTTCTTTGACTGAAAATACCTCGGTAGTAGGTTTCGTAATTTCTAATATGCGGTCGGCAGATGCAGCTAGCTCGTCTAAGGCGTTGTTCTGGAACGAGACCAGAACTGCTTGCACCTGTTGGGGAAGTTTTGACAAGAAGAGTTGTTTGAATAGGCCTTCGTCGAAAGTTCTTGGGCCTATAACCTCTCTCATCCGTTGCAACATGTCTGTCGCAGAACCGTGTTGCAGGTCGATATTGTTGAAGAGTTGATCTAACCTTTGTCGATCGGTTAGGTCTCCTCGTTTAAGAATCGAGCGTTTTAAGATTTCGTAAGGATCGGAAACATCACTAGTAAACATACTAGGTGTTACGTACCTGTTGAATTCGCGCGGTAGTGCCTTGACTACTGCGAGGAATTGTGCACGTGTGTCGATCACGCCGTGCTCGGAGAAGTCGGCTTCTGCGTAGCAAAACCAGGCTTCGATGTTGTCGGGCCAGAAAGGCATGAGTTGAAACGAAGGCGGGGACAAAGTCTTAAGCTTGAGTACTTTAGGTGTGTGTTCAGTCATGATGAGGTATGAAGTACGATAATGAACAAGAGGAAAATATATATATCCAGGAAAAAACACGAAAAAAAAATCACAATGTTTAAAAAAGTTAAAAAAATAAGGCAATGATATATAATAATCCCAAAAAGGAACAGACTCACAGTTGCAATTAGGTGTACCAGATCACGTCGGTTTCACCAATGATGATGTCACAGGTATTCAGTGTTTGACAACGCTTCTACCAGTAACACCTTCTAATATATTTCGTTCCCGCCCAGAGAAATCAAAAGACAGAGTCGAGGAGATCGGAAGAGTATATTTGGCGATGACCAATATATCGGAATTCTCTGATCTAATCTGGCTAGCGATTGCGGTTGATGTTGAGCACGGCGTTACCACACGTGATCTGGTGCGGATGACTGACCGAGCGCCTTCAGCTAGGTGAGTCCACTAAAACATATGGTCAGCATCCAATGTCGAAAACGTAGTGCTATTTATTTTGGGGATTTATTTACCGCTACAATATAATCCCACGTAGAACGTGATATATTCCAATTACAGTCTATAAATAATGAGAATTTTTGATTCAGACTTCAGCTAACTCAATCACAAACGAAAATAGAACGAGGGATGTGTGAGTAGTAATGTATTTGTTAGCCAGAAAGAATATGTCACGCTATGTTGGAATCACAACGGAAAGAGTCTTCAAGGTCATTGACTAAAACAACACCTACAATCACTTAATGATAAATGTACATACAGTGAAAAACTGACAGAACAAATACAAATAATATTAAAAACTATTTACAAAATAAGCTTTTCAGTCATATCTCCACACTATCATATCCCGTTAATAGTTTAGTTGTATGAATTATAGCCTAAAGTGTTTAATAATTTGGATTTCATCAATGAATGAACAATTCGAACAGGAGTTGACTAAACTGAATTGCTTATAATAATGGATGTTGTTTCACCAACATAAACATAAAATGATGATTAAATGCTAGAAGTGAATTTTCCTGAATCACAACCCCACACAACCTCGAAAACATTCTCGAAATAACAGGTGGTGAAATGACTAGTATTATTGACACCATAAAACTCTTCATCCGTTCATGTTAAAACTAACCATGTCAATGCATTTTCCATCTACATGGTAATTAAATTAAATTTCCTAACATGTAACTTAACAATTTTTAGTTCAGTAACTGTACACGTTGTTTAATGCAAACTGTGAATGAGGCTGAAGTATATTCATAATCACAAAAGCATAATAATTTAATTAAATATAAACAAGTACGTTTAACTGTATTATTGCTAAACGAAGATGTGGCAGACATCAAAAGAATGAATAGCAATTATGAACAATTGGAAAAGATGGCCAAGGTAAAAGTTGGATGTAGAATCCTGGTGAGTGTCCTATGCTCTTCAACGAGGGATAACAAGCGATAGTAAGCAAGTAATTGCTGAATTGAAATCATACATAAACTACTTGAACAATGCGGAAGTGAAAGAATTGGTTTGCTCGGGTATATATATATATCATATTCAAACTATGCTTGCTTGTAAAAGCAGACGAACTCCGAAATATATATCAAAGTGATTCTACCTAATATATTTGTATTATACAACCAATAACACCTACCAAGATATGTGAAATAATGTGACAGAAAAACAGTATTTGGATGATGGAAATTCGAGAACATGGCAAACCTTGTTCGCTATATTACTGACAGAATGCAGTCACTACTTAGGTTTCCTTCCGTTCCAAATAGACCATGATATATGCTAATCATAAATACTTATTATACACCCTATGGATTCAAAATGTGTCAGGGAAATCCTAACACCTATATGCCTTTCAGATTGAGTATCAGTTCTTCGTTGACATTAGAAAATATATTATGAATTCCACGATTAAATTCACTAAGCAAAACGTCACTTTCCACTCTTCTATTTTTAACTTTATTAGGTACTTTTAGTTTACTGTGTACAGAAACAGACATTTGAGTTAACCATGCTGTGTTTATTTATACTTGTGTCAGCATGTAAACTTCATAAATGTATGAAAGTGAAAACACAATACCGATATGAAGGAACTCCAGATTCGATTATTGCAAATCAATAACTTTTATTGGTAATGCAACGGAAACAATGTTAATTACTTCCTTATTACGATTCTAATATAACGAATAATATTTATTGCCAAATTCTCATGTGACCCTCTGTATTCATTAATTTTAATGTGATATTATCTACGAAGGTAAACTGGATAGTCCAAATATGAAACAAATGTTGATGGAAGGAATAATTTTAAGTGTTTTTGTGCAAACCAATTGTATTACTTACTCATTATTACGCCCAAAGTTTGCAGCTAAATTTATTATTTTTTCGTGTATCATGAAATTGTATTAACTTTATATAGAATCTAACATTTTATAATCAATGTTCAATCCGGTACAAACGTGGATTAACAAGGAGCTTATTCAGAAGGATCTATCGAATTTGCACTAACGATGCAGTTGAGAGAGACAAGTAAAGGTCTTTACTGAAGCACTGATGAATGATAGTTACTAACTTGAGTTTATAAAGCGTTGGTAGAGCAAAGATGTAATAAGAACTACTAAGTTCTCGGCATCCAAGAAGCGAGTCTATATTACTACACCATTAAGAGGTAACTCATATGGTCTTATGGTAGGACTCATCAACATCGAAAATTCTAGGTCTATGTTTCATAAAATACTCAAAAAGCATGTGACTAATTGTACCACAACTCATTCCATCTATCAGTTTACATGTATGTGCTGAAACACATAAATACGAGAAATAATCTCGATCTGCTGGTAAGGGTTGATGTATACAACTAATTGGCTATGAAATCGAATAAATCACAAGCATCAGACAAGATCACAGAATCGACAAATATCTTCCTCCACTAGGAATATCAAGTCAGCGTTTGTAGTGTTGTCCAGAATTGTTCAAGAGAATATACTAAGGTTTATCGAAGTGATAACTATACGAAAACTGAAGCCACCGTTTTGTGCTCAAAATGTGTTGTGCAAATATATCACATAATTCTGAGGACGTTCATCATCTTATCGCAGTATTCAAGCTTAAAGAATAGTTAAACTAATACTGTTATTACTAATGAAGTAGGTGAAATGATTTTCATTTAAAATATTAAAGAACATTCATTAATCTACAATAATTCTTACTCATTCATTATAAATCTCCACGCTTCACGAATATGTTCCCATAGAAGTGTCTGGCCGATAGGATACAATGCCACAGATGAAAGTGCATCCAGTAAATCCTGAGGATCCTTTTGATTATTTTTTATGACCCATTCCAAATGTCTAAATTATTGATAACATGAAAAGTATTAGTCGATTTCAACAAAAGTATTTATTTGTATTTAATTTTGAATTATTCAGGTAATAGGAAGTAAACGAAGTAGGTAATCGAATATTTGAAAGAGATACAAATATTTTATTATTATTTAAGCAAAATAGTTATTCAAATTTTTTTGATTTGGAGCATGAACTGATCAATATTAAACAACCATTGAAAGCGTCGACGAACTGGACAGTGAACTGATGAGGAGTTCCAAACTTGGACGAAACAGACGTCCAGTACTTCCATGTATTCAACGGTGGCCTAACATTGATCAGTTCATGATGTCAATTAAGCAAAACTGTGGTGTTTGAATTAACTAATGATTCTTTTGTACTTATTGAATGCTCGATTTCGAATTCTAAATACAGTACATTCGTTGTGCCTGTGTCTTCTTAATTCAATTGCGTTAATCCTGGGATTCCTAATTCATACTATAATTAGAATACTATATTGGCGTCGCGATGGAGCCTGCAATGGAAAAGTTAGATATTCATTCAACTTCAGAAGCTTTTGAAGATTACTTTGAAAGGTTTGAAATCTGGGCTATGACCAAGGAAGATGATGAGGATGTTAATATTGTGGCACACTTCCTCACATTCATTGGAAGAGAAGCATACAGCTTATTAAGAACTCTGGCTATGCCGGAAAAACCCATTTCGCTTTCTTATACAGCTCTCAAGGATCTACTGCTAGACTATGCTCAGTATACAAATTTCAAATGTCGTAAAGGAGGAAGATTTCGTAAAATGATTCATGAGGATATAAAAAAGTCCACTACATTACTACGTCATCTCAACCTAGTGCATACTCAAGGTTATGCGGACAATTCATTGAATTTGGATGCAGTTCACGAGGATGGGGACAAGTTTGGTCAGTGTTTGTCCTGTTGCAAGTTCCACTCTTCTAATTCATGTAAATTTCATAATTCTAAATGCTTCAAATGTCGTGATATTGGACAAGTTCAGTCAGTTTGTAATGCTAATGTTCATCTTACTGCAATTAATATTAAGTCTTGTAATTCTGATTCTACTGAGTCGAGTATTCATGATGATCATTTATCTTTATCAACGATTTCAAAAGACAGTGCAGAGTCATATGGCAGTTCAGAGTTAAATGAAATCCAGAATTCTTGTGAGACAACATTTCCTAATCAACCGATTTATCAGAATCCTCATGCTATTGTACCAAGTATGACTTTTCCTAATGATTCACATATTTCTAATGAAATTACTTGCAATTCTGAGGAAAATATGTTAAATGAACCTAATCATGATCGAAAACCTGATGTGGTTTGGATAGATGCTGATTTCTCTAACGATCCTACGCTCTGCAACGACAGTCCTGATGAATTTCATGAGAATATTTCAGAAGAATCAAATCCTGATGTCATATCATATATTACCTATCCTCGTAATGTATTTGATCTTCGTGAAAAACCTGCCCAATGCGAAGCACGAGTACTAAGTGACCTCGAGTTTTATTATATTTCGGATGATTTCATATCAACTGCTGTTTACTCTTATCACAAAAACAGTTCTAATGTTTACTCTAAACAATGTGAGATATATGTTTTAAATGAAGCCACATTATTCATAACTTGGGAGTATAAAGATCCAACATTATTTCGTGGGGGGGGATAGTGTTGAAAAATCTATGGTTCGAATTCTAGATATTAATGATTTCATTACAAAACCGACATGCTGGTTGTATACAATTCCAGGTGAGTCTGTTCCGATTTCGTTTGTTAATTCCAATACTAATGAGCACTTTCTAGATACTACAAAGTTTTTATCTTATACAATGTCGGACAGACTCAGGATGAACTTAACAAGAAGACGTACAACCGATTACAAACACTTATACTTCTATTTAAGCTGTGGCGGATGTGGTGTTTGAATTAACTAATGATTCTTTTGTACTTGTTGAATGCTCGATTTCGAATTCTAAATACAGTACATTCGTTGTGCCTGTGTCTTCTTAATTCAATTGCGTTAATCCTGGGATTCCTAATTCATACTATAATTAGAATACTATAAAAACTCAACAATCTCCACAATCCTATACTGGTATTCAAATTTTGTTCGGTTTGTCGATAAATGTCGTGTCAGATTGAAATCACACACAGTTTATAAATCATTTTTTGTCATTTTCTCTTGTTATTTGAACTCCAAACTTTGTTAGGCTAAATGAAAGGACATATATCATAACAAGTGGTTATTGTTACGGCGTTGCTATTTCAATATGATCATACACTTAACATTCTTTAAATATTAGTTTGCTTCATTACATGTAATTTTAACCCATAATACCCCATATCGGTGACATATATAAATTTTAATATTATAAGCAAACTCGTTAGCTGGATTAATGAATGCTGACTGAGTGGTCTGATGACAGAAAGCTAACATTAATCAATTGATTACTCATAGAACACTAAACCTCATATAATGAAAGCGTCTTCCGACGTACTATCAAAGCACCTGAAAAAAACAGCGATTACTAAAACCGATGAATTAAATTACATAAACACAAAACTATGAATGATCAAACGATATTGAGAGATATATATGGTGAAAATTACTGAGGGTTTAATGATCATATAAATACAACAGCACGAAATATGTATTAGACAGTCAATATATCACGAAACAATCCATGTATTTTATTGACTCATATATGTTTACATACATTGTACTAGAACAGGAACCATTTATTTAATTTATTGGAAGCTGACAATCGAAAGCAACAACAAATGAAATGTAATATAACTCACAGTCTTACTATCCACATATCACGAGAACAAGACAATGCCTGTAAAATACTATTTTTCTCATCCTCTTTAATATCCACTTCTAATAAACGTTGTTTTAAGAACTCCCATTCTTTTTGTCCACCGATTCTAATTGCTGTGCAATAAACAGCTGGCCTCAAACTTGGTGGGATCCTTAAACATAAAACGGATGAAAAATTAGAGGATAATGGATAGTACTACATGTAGAGTAAACAATATCACAAATTTTATTATAAAAAGAACTTTATTCGTTCAAGGCGGAAATAAAACTGAACAAAATAATTAAGTTATTTGAAGCAGTCCACAAGTTAACAACTGATATACAAATTCCATAGATATGGATCAGTCAATACAAGTGAATGATATACAACTTGTTGGTCGCCAGTACCTTGCATTTAATAGATCCAAATCAGGATATGTCTAAGAATGTTATTTTTCTAAAATTCACCTAGTAATTATTTCAAAATCATAACAGTTCAATAGGTAACTTACAAATTTTGTGAAGGATTAAGCATCCAATTTCTGTAATATTCTGTAGCCATTTTAACGCATGAATGATGTTCAGCTTGACATGCTAGACGAGTTAATGTCAGGCGCAACATACTTAAATAAAAAACAAGCACAACTGGTGAAATAAAGAAAATTTCAACAATAGTTACATTCAATTGTTCTAATCAGTTGTCTAATCTGAATATAATAAACAATTAACTGGAATAATAAAACTAACATAAACACTCATCCCTTTATTTTGTTTATTTATCTTCATTTGATGAATGATGTGACATTGGATTCATATAATATAAGAAAATTGTATGTTTTCTCAAATTTCACCGATCATGTCGGTTAGTGATGAAAAGATAATGTCGAATTCCTAACGAGATCATCTAAATATAAATCCTAATTCTAATTCCTCACACTAATGTATAAGCCTTATTTAACCCAAGTAAGTAAGTAAACATTCCAAGGTCATGTTAGAGTTGTTATAAGGCTGTCCATAAACTATAGTCTCACCAACTTCTCTCATTCTATGGATTCTGTATCCAACATATTCCACTAAATCAGAATAAATAATATTCGTTTGCACTAGGCAACATATTTTCATAGGCTCTAGGTGGTTATCATCTAATGAAATGGATACAAAACACAGTTTAAAAACATTTACGTAACCTACTGCTTCATATGATCTTTGTCTTCTTTCATTGTTGTCCAGTCCACTGATTTAAGAGGATCATCTACAAGCGTACGCAAATATGCTTGAAAAGCTCCATAACTCTCGTCCATGGCAAGCATACGGTCTAAATAAGATAGTGCTCGTCGAGTCGTTTCCCATACAACATACTGATCTTCTTTTTTCAAATATTTTGTCAGATTTAAGTAGACATCGTATGAGACAGTAGCACGACTTTAAATATTTAATAATGAGAAAAGGTAGATTTTAGAAAAATCGTATACATGGTAAATTCACATAATTAAAGTATAATTTTGTACCGATGATACACTTGCAAACGAAATAGGTAATATAAATCTTTGTTAGGTCATTCATCAATGAAACCCTACGGTAGAAAACTCTTGTAACCACTAATTATATTCTTGTCGATCAATTAATTAATTCTAACTAGTTTTGTGTTTAGGTCAACTCAATACAGTTTAATTATGTCATACAATTTAACATGTATAGAAGTAAATTTTGTTCACATGTGGATTTTAATTACTAACCGGATGGTTCCAACGAATTTCCATTGGTTTCTATTTTATTAACGATTAATTCTGATTGAAAGTAGTCGTTACATTTTTGTTATGAAATTATTGTTTACTATTTACCGCTTACCAAGAAAAATAAACACAAGTTTACTCCTTATATACGACTATAACCTGATTAGTTTGATTTATTATTGTAGTAATTTAACAGGTATCATACTGAACCATAAGTAACTTAAACAAAACAAAATCAGTTTCAACAGAACTGTTAACGAACTTCTAACTTTTACAGAAACTGTTAACAATATAAAATCTTCATCTAAAAACATTAAAAAGTATTTTTACATTATTGAATCAGAAGAAACATCCAATGTTGATAAGTGTTAGCTGTTAGTTTTATGATGAAAATTGTGGTTTGTAACAAGGTTGTGCAAGGTAGCAACAATGTGATTCACAGTGGATAAATTGCACGATAGTGATAAATTAACAAAAGAATTGCTTTCTGTCACTATATTGAAAACACAAACGGTCAGTGAACATTTGTAAATGATGTGCAAGTCGGTCAACAATGCACAAATAGAATTTAGTAAATTTACTTAACCATGTTATCATATACTCATAATAGTTCAACAAATACAGCCTTCATCACTTCTCGTCCATTAAACAGTAAACATCATAAAGCATTATGCATTTAAAATCAAATTACTAATAGTTTATCTAAGAAGAGACGATAAAGCCTTTTATATGCAACAGTATTTGAAGAAGATGAAAATAAATTCAAAGAAATCTTCCTTGTAAGTCCGAAAACAGTCACTTTTTCACACCTCTCATCTTTGAGGCACTTTTCTGACTATAACAGTATCCCTAATCTAAACTCTTTGGTTCACTTGAATGATACGAAATCATTATTTTATATTAATCCTAGCTGTTCCTTCTGATGAAAAATTTTAATTTAACATTTTACAATTATTGTTATTATCAAAACAGCTCCGATAGACTTTTTCCATTTTTGTATCATGATCATACTGTTTTAATCATCACCTTATAGAACTTCTCTGAAATATTATTATAGAAGGTGATCTTGTAGGGATTCGTGTTAGATATCTATTGTTTTCAATGTATCATATCGACTCAGTTGAAACTTACTGTTAGGTTAATAACGATAAGTGCAATACAATATTTGGTTACAGAGAAGGTTGCTGAAAATATATTCTCAAACATTCCTTATGTTAGTATTATCTGTTATTTATATTTCACACCTTTTGAATTCGGAAACTACTTAACTTATCCACGCATATATTCAATTCAATTATACCTTTAATGTATTTAATATAAAGTTCCTGGCCAACACAATAAAACTTTTTATAGATTTATATCTTCAAAGATCGTGTAACAAGAAGCTGTTCATTTAAATATGTAAATAATAAAATTTTAATTTCAATCGAATGCATACCATATGATATTATGTCAAACAATAAATATAGGTAAGTACACTTACTTTGCTAAGTTGAACAAGTCATCCAAAATTTGTGTTCTTGAATGAAGTGGAATAGCCTAATCATAGAAAATATCGAATCAATTAATTTTTTATTTAGTAAATACAAAGTGATTATCGGTAAAGTTGTGGAGATTGTTAAGTTTTTATTGTGACCATGAATCGGTCGATGTTATGGTGAATTGGTTCAAGTTAGATATTAACATCGTTGGATGCCACCTTAGTAGTCTAGAGGTTAAGCATTCCCTCGAGAATGAAGATTCTGGGTTCGGGTCTCACGTGCGGGATCGTACATGTGGACTACTAAGGAGTCCAATACTAGGAAGAAACGGTAGGCTAGTGCTTTCAAGTTTTCAATGATGGTCTAACATTGATTGATTCACGATCTCAATAAAAATAAAAATGATTGTTCACTATATGGCTAAAACGATTTCAAATATTACTTTGCTATAAATAAAATGTTATTAAGTCGGAATCATTATAATTATTGTGACATCTATACAACCTTAATTGGATAAACTGTTGACAGATAATTCACAATCATACGCTAGTTTATCAAAGTATTTATCTTTGTATAGACTTTGAAGGTGATCAATCTTAAGAATTTTTCAAATAACGGTTACTACTTACACGGTGGTCTTTATACAACTGTTCTGTCAATAGTTCCCAGTTATTGTCGGCATAATGAACACGATAAAATCCAGCTTGTTTAATGTTGAATAAATACCAAGAATTTTCTGCAACATCTAGTGTTTGGGTCATTGTCTCTGTTGAAATTAAAGTAAATATTTGTGGAAATGCTATGAAATCGCTGAATGTATATGTTCCTAAGTGAACATCATCGCATAAGAAGGAAAAGAGGTTAATGTATTATCATCAGTGTATGGAAAACCAAATAAATAATTTAACATGATCCAAATCTACGAAGGTTTAATGTTCAATTATATATACTAAAACAAATCAACATAATCTGAGAGCCATTTCAAACAACAGAGGACTTCATAGATATTTTATCCTAGTTCCAAACTTCTCAGCACTTAGTGCCCATGACGCTATATGATAGAAAGCGGAGAACTTCTAAATCTCAGTCGCATTAGGAAATCCGTAGACCATTGACGTGAAATCTATCAGTTCACATTTTCACTTTCAACCAATCAAAAATACTATATGCTTGCTATTCAATTGCATGAGAGAGATATGTTTTACTTTTAAATTCGATGGATTTCACTAAGTAAATGCTCATGCTGTGAAATCTTAAGATCCTGGATCCCATGGCATTTTGCGAACATGCTGACAAAATGCAGACTCTTCTGACCACCATAAGAAAAATGCAAGCATGTTCGGGATGCGATTCTCCCACTCAAAATGCGAATTGCTGCTTCAGGATTGGGTTGCATCGGCGTTTGAACTAATGATTGGGAAAGAAGTAGTTGAGCGTGTCGACTGCTTCACTTATCTTGGGAGTCTTATCAGCCCTTGTGGTTTGGTGTGTGACAAAATCTCAGCACGGATACAGAAGGCTCGACTAGCTTTTGCCAACTTGCGTCATTTATAGCGTAGGCGAGATATCCTTCTACCGAACAAGGAACGAGTTTACTGCACAGCAGTTCGTTCCGTCCTACTTTATGGCAGTGAAACATGGCCGGTAAGAGTAGAGGATATTCGTAGGTTACTAGTATTCGATCATAGGTGTCTTCGAAACATTGCTCGTATATCCTGGAACCATCGAGTAAGTAATGTAGTTGTTAGGAAACTGGTACTAGGTGAGGATGGCAAATCAATTGATGACGTAGTGAAACTTCATCAGTTGCGATGGCTGGGACATGTGTTACGTATGCCCAACCACCGACTGCCTCGACGTGCTATGTTCAGTGGCATACGAGTAGGTTGGAAGAAAGCTAGGGGCGGCCAGACCAAAACATGGCACAAATCCATGAAGCCACTGACAAGTGGACTAAGTCATGTTGGTATGCGTAGACTACCTGGGAACCTGAATCCTCACAATGATAAAGATAATAATAATAAGTTTGGGACATAAAATGAACATTAATCAAATTACGTTACCATATTATAAAATTGATTATCAGCCAGTTGATAACCTTTTTGAGATATTTATTCAGCATCCACCCCTATCTACTATATCTGACTTAATTCATATTATTCTACATATTACACAATTTCTGATTCCTATTCCGTTAGTTTCTCTCGCTCTCTCACCCCATGTTGACCATATTTATTCTGATCATTTATCCCATAATTTCATTTCGCTTATAAACTGATTCAAGTTAACACCTAATATTAAACATCCCCAACATTAACGATCTGAATTGATTTTATATAACAAACAATTCTTGATTCACATGTTACAATTTTAAATGATGTACACTGCCCTAAACTTGGCCAATTTTATGGATTATTAATTTGGATTCATTATTGTAGAACCTGATGGGAAATTATTGAAAAGAATATTCTTCGTTCATACAATTGTGTTTCCAACCAATAATGTTCGCTTATTACAAAAATTTACCCGAAATTCGATTTTCAATATCTAATCCCCATATTACAATAGAATCTATAATGACAGTGTATGTAAAATATATAATAAAAATTGATATTTCATCGAATGTCTATGCCTCCAATATAAAGATTTAGATTATTAATTCCTCAATACAGCAAAGAAAAGTCACTCATCTTACTGGACATAAAAAGTTGCTACTATACTCAAAAAATCTTTTAACTGATGTAGTTCAATCATAATATCTAGTTTAGACATCTTACTTAGTTATCACTATTGAGTGGTTTGAGTAAATACTTTCTTTATGTTAAAAAATGGCAACATCACTCACATTAACAATATATTTAACTGGTTTACAAGTGACACAATTTTACTATTTATTTATCCTCTGAAGAAGTGACTTACACTAAGTCACGAAACGTCGAAAATCTATTTTAGTTCTACTCATTGGGATACTACAAACATTGTTTTTATTTACAATTCTACTATAGTTAAATAAACGTTATAAAGAATAACTTTGTATTACATCATATTAACTAAATCCACTTAACGTTCATTTATGGCTTAAATTAATTTAATATTCAGTGTCAATTTGACCACTTATGTACATAGCTTCCGCGAACTTACTATTTTTCATAGTTATGATTCATGATCAAGATTCTAGAAACATTCATTATATTACTATGATTGATATTTCCAATCATCTAATTTACAATACTTAACTTCCTAGGTTATTCCACCTACCCATATTTAATTCATTAGTATATATTACTACAGTACAATTCTCAATTAGTACTTATAATAAGTAAATGTATACAAAAACGAGGTAAAGAAAACAATGACTTGCTGTTCATCATCCAAATGACATCTGTTTCATCCCAGTTAATAGTCTTTGCTGATCCATAAGTCAATGGTATTTTCCATGTAAAGCTAAAAGTAAAAGGATCAATTAATTTAACTTAATGTTACATAAGTATTTTTTTTCTAAATCATTACTATGAGTGCTTAATAGCTGTATAGATAGATGGATTAAACTGTGGTGTATACTATTTATGTATATAAGTAGCATGTAGCACCAATCGGAAGTGGAATGCATGCCAGCAGAACACTGGGGAGATCCAATTGAAGAAAACAGAAAGGGAAAACGAAAACGATTATGATAACAACGGAATTGAAATATTCATAAAGCATGTAAAGGACAACTGAAGGAGGATGTGTAAATCATGTATTTGATGCATGGTTTTCATATTTTACCAAGATATTTTGTAATTTTGTATTGAATTATAAATTGATCTTTCTCACCTGGGCCTTTGATCACTACAAAACCACTAAAGTAAACGATAAAAATGTTTTGTATTCATGATGTTTTACTCCGAAAATTACTCAATTAATCACTTGCAGGCTATTAAATCAGGTTAATAGTACTGAATATTAAAGTATATTGACTATAAACATGACTTCAGACTTCGTATCAGGCATTCGATAGTCTTTAGATCATTACGTGTAATTTATTTCATGATACTCGTGTACGTACATACGTATAATATACATATATCATATTCGTTGATATAGCCATTATGTCACAAGTTATTTAAAATGAATAGATTAGGCTAGAAATGGAATCTAGCTGATGAATCCCAAATAGGACGAAGGTTGCATGCTAGATTTCACTTCTAGCCACAATCCATCGATTCTAAACATATAATATAATTTAAATTAGAACAGTATAAGAAATGCTTTAAAACTTTTAAATAAACATAATGTACATAATAAAAATGACTAATAGTATAAATCATATTATCTCGTAAAATTGTAAACCATTTAGATAAACGAACTAAGTAACTAATGAATCACAAATGATTGTTTCTGTGAATACAAACTAATCTGATTCGGAGAAGAAAAACCTTTACAAAATATCTTAAACGAATATGGCAATAAATAATGATAAATGCAGGCTTATGAAATTTGGTTCGTTCTATTTCATCGAGTCGTGTGGTTTAGCAATGTTTTGCCTGGCAACAAAACTTACTAATCAATCATACCATAAAATAATATTAAGGTGGCCAGTGTGACTAGTAGCAGTTATACAGGATTAACAGCATTCGAACACTAATCAATCTGTAAAACACTAGTTTCACAAAGTTGAATACTGTCCATCGGGTTATTGATTGTTTTAAAAACAATTCTGGGCAATGATTCACTGGCGGGTAAAATATAACAGAATAGTTCAAATAGGGCTAATTGGAATAAGTCTTCCCACTACTTTTACTCCTTAAAGACACAAATATCCTTTAGTTGGTAAAACAATAGTTAGAATACATGATATTATTCAACCTACTTGTATGGTGAGGGATTTTTTGGCGATTTAGAATCCTGTGGCTCTAAGTAATGTTTTTGTACAAATTGAAATTGGCCATCAGCATTTCTTTGAATGATTACTAATGGGTAATTCATCTGTTTCATCCACGTATCCATTACGGCTTTAACATTCACATCTTTACCTGCACGTTTTGCTGCCTGAAATTGAAATAAATATTTCAGCAATATTTTAGAATAAATATTCCATGGAAATAACACTGACAGTGGTAGAATATTTCTGCATTGTTATAATACAATATCTTTGATGGCGGACGTAGATTGTATTTATTCTGCAAATTTTGACTACTAATAACATACAAGTATACATACATTCTTTTACACATTGTTCACATTTTATCGACTCATACTTTTCTAATAAAAAAAATGAATACGTTTTCAATATAGATCTAATTATTAAAATTATAAATTCTTTGATAATTCTAACTTTATTGGTTGAGATCATGAGTCATTTGAAGTCAGACAAAGATGGAAAACCTGGAAGCACTCCAAGATAGTTTTGTCCTAGCATGGGACTCCTCGGCAATGCACACCAACGATCCCACCTCGCGAGACGGTAACCCAGAACCTATCGGTCTCGCGCATGGATGCCTAACCTCTAGACCATTGAGCCGGCATCCAATCGTGTTAATGTCTAACTTCAACTAATCCACGAAATTGAGTGACACATTCACTATTGTTTTCAGTGAGTTACTACCTCACAACAGATCTGGTTGAACTCCACTAGTCACTGCTTCTCATTGGAACTCCAAGAGTGTTCACTGCTTAGAAGTTTCACGGTAGGACGGAACGGCTCTCCAGTGCTTCCAGGTATCCCATGGTGGTCTAGATTCAACTGACTCATGATCTCAACTATTGAAATTTTAATTTT